GTTAGACAGGTGACAGTCGGGCGTTAGACAGGTATCGTTAGACAGGTATCGTTAGACAGGTGACAGTCGGGTGTTATACAGGTATCGTTAGACAGGTGACAGTCGGGCGTTAGACAGGTATGACAGAACTCTCCTGCAGCAGCAGGTCTATGGCAGCCTCCACATCTTCTACCACGTGATTTGGCTCCACCAGATCCAGTTCCAGGTCTTGGTGACTACTAAATACCATTTCTGAGAAGCCACTGTTCTGGTCACTAGTCCGTGAACGAGGATTGTAGACACCTGTGCACACCTGGAGACATGTAGGAATTTAGTCAACCTAATGTAGGACATCTAACAAAGTTAGTCTGCTGTTACTGCTAGTATCTCTCAGCCCTGTGAATAGCAAGGGGCCATCAGGGCACTATCGATCAATTGTTAGGCTGATGGTCCTTCTTTATCTTGTGAACAGCTGGTTTTGGCTGTCAGTGGCAAACTGGTTGATCCACTATGAGAAGATGTTATTTATAAGACTGAGTTTGTTGCAGCTCCTCAGACTGAAGAAGTCTTTTGGATAAAAGATGAAACGATTCAACAAGAAGAATCTGTCCAGAGGATTGACTTAACCTACTTGGATTACTGAGAAGCATCAGAACACTAATGTAGGGCAGGTGTCTGAACTAAAAGTAACATTTTATTTTCCATTCAGGAGAATCAAGGTAAAGTAATCAACTCTTTCCTACCAGGATGGAGTGACACTGAACAGCAGATGCCAGTTCTTCTGCCATTTCCATTTGGCTCCCTGTTGCCTGGGCAACCAGCTTGGTGCTTGGTGTCATGGCCGCATGCTGCTGAGCCAGGTAGCGCTTGTACATGTTAGCACCATAAATGTCTGTCGTCAAATTGTCACTACAAAACAAGAAGGACAAGATGGGTTCAGAAACTCAGTTGGATTAGTGTTACAGCTGGATCAGGACTGGTTGGAACAGTCTTTGGTTTGGTTAGACCAGCAGACAGTTTTGATTTGTTTAGACAATTAAAAGATGGTGTTACGGACGTCGCACTTACCCGATAGCATAGATCGTGGACAGTTTGCGGTTGTGGTTCTGCTGCCGCAGCAGCTGTTCAGCGTACTGGTACGTTTGCAGACTGGGCTTTCCCAACAGTGCTTCGTATTGCAGCTCTCGACCAGTCAGTTTCTTGTAGACGGACTCCAAACACAGCAGGAACATCCCGTGACCAAATCTGTGGCAGGACACCAGAGTAACCACAGATCACGAGCCTGACCCTCCACCTGGCATCTAAAGGGAACCGTTTGTTACCGTGGTGATGGGGCATCGGCCATCCACAGTAGATCCAAGTTGCAGGCAAGAATAGGCAGCTGGTTTGGCAGACGGGTGTCGTACACACAGTCAGGTCTGCCGTTGGTCAGCAGCACGTCAATCAGCAGTTGTAGGTTGGTCTCCCATCTGATTGGCTCCCCAAACAGGATGATTGCTATAATGACACATCAGCGATAAAGACAGTGCAGAGTGACGGCAGTGACGTGCGGTGAGCTTTGTGACAGGTGAGGTGGAATCAGATGCTCACATATATGAACACAAAATAGAAGCTTATATTTCAATTTAGCTTTTTTCTTTTAAAAAAAGCATCCAATCCATTTAATCAACTCCATACTCCTCTCTTTAAATACATTTAAGAAAGTATTATCTTACCTTTGTTTTAAGATGAATGAGTTTAGAAAAATCCTTTAGATTTGAGATATAAGCTTCTATTTTGTCTAAACAAATTTAAACGAGTGTACGGAATGGCTACACTCCCGCCCCTCTGCGTAACAGAAGAACACACGGCGACCTCACCTGCTTCATTGTTCCTATGAGACAACACTGCCCCCTATTGGTGCGGCACGGTACTTTCTGCCTCACCCTGTGTATTTTCACCGTGCATTTATGACCGATTAGAAAGAAGAAATATGTCACACACATTCATTCAATATATTAGGCAGACTGTAGAACAGCATGTGCAGCACATGTGTAATCAAACATGGATATTGGCGATATAAAGAGAGAGAGCAATGGGCATGCTCCAACCACCTACTTCAAATATCGTGTATGACACAGCGCCCCCAGAGGTGAACCAGAGCACTGCACTGCCTCACCCAGCACGTTTCTTCCATGATTGAACAGGCAATGGGTAAATTCTGCGATTTTGACCACTGAAGTGTTGAAATAATTCAGAAAACATTTTTATAAAAACAGCCAAGTGGTCAAATGTATTTTCTCTTATCATTGTCAGTATTTTACTCGTCATGGTGACATGATGACCTCACCTGCCCCCCGACTGCACGTCACTGAGTGAAGGTGATTCAAACACAAACTAAGCTGCTGTTACTCACACAACGTACTAAACTAAACTAAAGAAGAAACATTTCAAAATGAGAAACTGCCTCGTTTCTGCCAAGAGACGTGATCCCTCCAGCTCCTGAGGAAACACAGACTCCCCAAAACGTTGATTTCAGGGTATTGGAAGCTCTAACCAACTGTGGAACCTCGGACGGACGAATAATGAAGCCACAGTTTTTACGGAAGGAACTCATCCGGCTTGTTCATCACAGCTCATCAGCTCAGACGGTTAAACCCGCCTTCGTCTTTTACTTGGACAGACTTCTCTCATATTCAGTTTACAGACATCACCTTCCAGACTCGCTGACTGTTACACTAGATGCCACGTTGACCGCATGTTCGCACGCTTCCTCTCAGCAGCAGTGGATTTAGACCAGTTCTGAGCTGTTGGATTCCCTGACCCGGACCAGTCTTAATACCGAATCAATAAGACCTGATCAATGACCCAGGTTACTGATGAATTATTAGCCACTTGTTGTGTTACCTTGAATCTGGGGCAGGCTCTGCAGAGGAGATGGCTGAAACAAACAAACAATAAACTGTTGTTTAGGAAATAATGACAAGATTATAAACAGGAATAATCAGGATGATGTTGTCAGAAAGAAGTAGTAGAACGAATAAAATACTTTGAGTAACTGTAGTTTGGAGAAACAAATGACAGGTCTTTTATTGTGAAAACATTTGTTTGAACGGTTGGAGGTCTAAAACCAGAAACAGTAAGTTACTTAATGTTACAAAGAAACTCATTTAAGACTTTGAGCGGTTCCCTTCTCCAGGGGTCGCCAGTGAACTCGCATGAAACATTTGGTTTCTCTCCAGCAGCGACCCTTCCCAGTGCAACCTGGGTTCAAACCAGCAGCTTCAAGGCTGTGGCACCTAACCGCTGAGCTACCTCAGCCCATTTCAACATTTGTATGACGCTATTAAAATCTGTGTTTTAGTCTCAGAGAACTTTGTCAAACTAAATCCAGGGGTGAGGGCCTCTTGTTGGAACCGTGGTTCCTGGAGCTCAAGTAAGGACAAGAAGCAACCTCGACCCGAGCCTTTACCTGCAGCGAGAGCTGTCAGGTGGGCGTGACGTGATCCAGGAGACCCTGACACGCCTGGTGACATAAACTGGCTCCAGGTACATCCAACGTCGCCTCAAAGCTGGTGTGAGGTTGTACAAAACTTGAAAAAGTCTCTCTGGACGTCAGACTGAGGGGCGCCTGGTGGGCGTGGAGATGTGAACCCTCAGCTGAGCGCCTCGGTGTTGGAGTCGCCCCCCCAGTGAACGAGTGGATCAACTCTGCAGCTTCGAGCCGCAGGAGTTCATGTTCAGACTGATGGACTGACTCAGTGATGGATTCGTTCATTCATTCATTCAGGCTTAGGAAAAGACTCACGTGTGTTGGGGGTCTCCGGTTGTGCTCCACCATGTCCAGCAGAGGGAACTGATCTGACAGTTGCTCAATGGTCACCACCATCTGGAAACCCAGACTGAAGAAGACAGGGTCAAGTGTCCAAACCATTTCAAACCTCAGAAGACGCGTCTCTGCACATTATCGTCTTAACGCCGTAAAGCGTGCGCCTCCTGCACCTCTACGGCTTCAGCCTCCTCAAATGAGAAGCAGAAACTTAAGAAGAAGTCCTGCTCAACTTTCTGATGACGTGAATTACACTCTACAGGTTTCTGCTGAGCCGACTGGATCCAGGTGGACTCCTGGTCCCTGGTCAAGGATACGTTTGGGCGATGTGGCTCACGGGTCCCTGCCCGGACACCAGCACACATTTATTGTGAAAAGTCGTCATCGTGTGCAGAGGACTGTGTGATAAAACCACCTGCTCAGGTGTTATCTGCAACAAAATCACATGACTTGTTGTGATCCAAACAGAACAACGTAAACGCTGGAACGGTGAAATCGAATCACTTTGGTGGGACAGAACCCTCTTTAGAGGGTGCGCCTACCTGGACATCCAGCAGGTGAGACAGCTGCTGAGCTTTCTGGTTTCTCTGACAGCTTCCTGCGTTGGTGACAAACACAACAGGAAGCAGGAAGTTGTTGTTCCGGTCCACAAGTTTCCTGAGAGCCCGCCGAGCTGCTGGAATCACGGAACTGCCACGGAGAAGGACGCCATCTACATCAAAGAGGATGCCAGCCTGATGGAGACAGATGTAAATGGTCAAGCACTCACTCCTGCAGGGCTGGTCTGTTGTGAACAGGTACTCAACCCGCAGGTGCAGTGTGTGCTCTGGGTCATGGACAGGACAGTGCTGACGCTGAGCTACTGTCCCAGACTCTAACCTGTGCAGCGGTGGACGCTTGGCGGACGACCTGCTGCAGGAAACCTCGACTCCACATGACTCCTTCCTGTCCATCAGCCCGTCTGCTGCCGTAGAACCACGGGGCTTCGATACCACTGAGGAGGCGGAGTCAGTGACCTCCATGTTTGTTGGTCATGGATGAAGATGTGAGCCACACACACTGAGCTGATGATTAGATGCAGCTGACTACAATTTTCTCATCACATGCAGCGTTGAGTCATTTATCTGCCAATCACATGATGCAGACTGCCTCTAATCAGCCAATGAGCTGACGGCACACGGGGAGACAGACGCTGCAGTAAAAAGGTTTGAAGTCATCTCAAGGCTCGCAGCAGGCTCTTCCTGACCTTTGACCTCAGCTTAAGTCAACCTTGGTTTCCTGAAGTGATGCAAACAGCGCAACAATAAAAACTGAAATATTTTATTTAGTCGACTTCTAAACCACACCCCTGAACTCCGGTAAATATACTGTTACTTTATTGATTTACGTTACTCCGGTAAAAACTCGTTATTTTACTCGGCTCCCTGCAGTCGAGTCGACCCTGAACTCATAAAATTTATTTATAACGTCGCTGTTCCATCGATGAGTGGGACTCCACTCCTCAGTTCATCTCAGGTGGAGGTGATCTACCACTGTGATCCGTTTCCCCGCTCTGTGGGCGGGGTCTTCAATGCAAAGTGGGCGTGGTCGTAGCTGGTCATTGTGTTTGAGCCACTCCGTCCATCCTGGTTCTTAATCGTCCCATAATCGGACTTCAGTTTCTTTCTTATCCCAGACCAGTACTGCTCATGAGTCCGGGTGTAGCCAGGCTGCTCCACCGTCCCCGATGGCTCTCGGCAAATGAGCTAAATTCTTTTGGCGCCATCCGTCAACAGGAAGAGGAAGTGGAGGTTCTGATGTATTCAGGGTTTCATCCAGTGACGCTCTGTCTGCTTACATCAGAACCAGCCCCTCGGAGCAGCCCGCTTGGAACCACGAACAAGGTGGTCCCATAAACCGGGCTGAGTTGGGTGGTACCAGCAGTGGAGGAAGCCATTAACTGGTGCCGTGTGGAGCAGAACCTGAGAGCCGAGACGGTGGAAAAGCACCTTAGGTGGGGCCGTCTTCTGACCCACATTCCTGAACTCTTCATGGTTCTGACAGTTTGTAGCAAAACCCAACGTCCTGGATCCAAGGTTCTGTTCTGAGCAGCAGCCGGTTGAAGTTTTACTTTGAAAACCCAACAAAATATTCAAACAACAAAATGAGCTAAACAGAGATTTATTGTGAAAAATTACAAAATTAGAAATATTTACAGACAGAACGGGTCAGAGACAGAACGGGTCAGAGACAGAACGGGTCAGAGGCAGAACGGGTCAGAGGCAGAACGGGTCAGAGTCCCAGCAGAGTTCTGGCTTCTTGACTCTGAGCTTGAAGTGTCTCACTGGCGTAACGCTGCAGCAGCTCCATCTTCTTCCTCCGGACCAGAGCTTCCTCCACCTGAGAGACAGACGGGTCAGAACGGGTCAAGAAGAGAAAGACTAGGACCAACAGCTGGAAGAACCTCTCTGAACTTCACAGGACCACCTGAGTCCAGACCTAATGTCTGGGTTCTGATGGGAGGTGTCTCACCTCTTTCTGAGACGGAACAGGAACATGTGCGATGAAGGTGACTCCGCCCTCCTCTGCCTCCTGCTCCTCATGGTTCTCCTCATCAGGCTGCACAGACACACAAAGCAAACATGCGACTGTTATCCAGAACCACCGACCCGGTTCAGTCCTGCTCTGAGGTCAGCTGTGCAGGAGCTGATTGAGAGGAGAACAGGTCAACGTGAGGATCACCTCCTCGTTGTGGACGGAGTAGATGCTCTCCTCTTCCTCCTCCTGCTGCTTCTCTCCAGACAGACGAGACTCCTTTTCAGTTTTCCACTTCTGCACCGCTTCCTGTATGGCTGCGTGCACACACACACACACACGGTAAATTACATATACTTGAGTCTGATGACTGAAGAAGTCCTTCGGATGAAAGACAAAACGTTTCTACTTTTTTTTTAATGTCCAGAGGACCAGACTTAACTATTTTAGATGTTTCTACTCAGATTATTGAGCATCAGGAAACGACTACAGGGGAATTAAGCTGATGAGCCACACGAAGATCTGGGAGTTGTGGAAGCAAGACTTGGACGAGAGGTGACCATTTGTGAGCAGCCGCATGGTTTCATGCTGAGAATGATGCATCTTGTCCATGTGTGGATAAGAGTGAGACAGGTGGAACAGTGAGGTCACTAAGGCGCAGGACTTCAAGGACTTGGGGTCCACTGTCCAGCAAAATGGGGAGTGTGGTAAAGAGGTGAAGAAGAGAGTCCAGGCAGGATGGAGAAAAGTCTCAGGAGTGATTTGTGACAAGAGTGTCAGCAAAGGTCAAAGGAGAAGTTTACAAGACTGTTGTGAGACCAGCTATGTTGTCTGGTCTGGGGACAGGGACATGGACAAAAAGACAGGAGACAGAACTGGAAGTGGCAGAAATGAAGATGTTGAGGTTCTTCTTAGGAGAGACAAGGATGGAGAAGATCAGGAATGAGATCATCAGAGGTACAGCACAGGCTGAACAACTGGGAGATAAAGTTACAGAGGACACACTGAGATGGTTTGGACATGTCCAGAGGAGGGACAGTGGTTTGGACATGTCCAGAGGAGGGACAGTGGTTTGGACATGTCCAGAGGAGGGACAGTGGGTATATTGGTAGAAGGATGTTAGAAATGCAGCTGCCATGAAAAAGACAAAGAGGAGACATCTGAATGCAGTTAGAGAGGACATGGAGGTGGTTGGAGTGAGGACAGAGTGAGATGGAGGACACGCTATGGAGACATCTGAAGAGGGAAAAGCAGAAAGAAGAAGAGTATTGATGAAATGTTCAGTTTTTCATTGATGGAAAGACAGAGCGTATCTTGATGCTCCTGTAACTTTGGTGCTCTGGCATCTAAGTTCAGACCTACAGATCAAAACTTGGGAGTGACCTTTGACAAGGATTTAAAGTTTGATAAACAAATAGCCTCTGTACTCAAGACCAGCTTTTATCAATTGTCTTTTTTGACCTTTAACCTTTATTTGTCCTGATCTGGGAAAGGCCATTCGTTCCATGTTCTGCGTGTAGGAATCTCCAGTCCTCCATCAGACGTCTTCAACTGGTCCAACATGCCCGTCTTTTAACCAACACTCCCAGATGTGAGCACATCTGTTTGATTGTCTCTTCATTGCCTTCCAGTCCATGTAGAACTGATTTTAAGGTTTTACTTCTCACTTTTAAAGCTTCCCATCATGTAGCACCATCATGTAGCACCGAGGGAGAGGACTGTCTGTCTGCAGAACGTTACCATGACTACAAAGATCCACCTGTCTGTCAAAACATACAACTCACAAAACTACTGCAAAAATCTCACAAACTCTCCTGCTGCTCCACCTTCAGTCCCACCTGCTCCTCCACCTTCAGTCCCGCCTGCAGGTGTGAGCTCACCTTGTTTCTCGTGCAGCGCCTCCAGAGGGAGCAGCACGCCGTCGTCTTCGTCTCTGTAGCCGTAGTACTCTGCGTCCACGTCCTTCATCAGCTCCGCCCTCGTCCTCCTCTGAGCCGGAGTAGCTGTGGGGTCACGTGACCCGTCAGAACCAATCGTCTGAGAGTTCACTCAGGAAGTTCTACAGATACTTACGTTCCTTCTCGAACAGCTCCCGGACCCCGGGCAGGTCTCGGGCCGCTCCGAAGTACTTGTAGCCCCGGTTCCCCGGGACTTCTTTCCCCTCGTGGTCCAACATCCTCGGACCGATCCGCTGCAACGCACAGACGACAGGAAGTCATGTGACCGCTCGCCTTGAACATGTGATCGAGTCAATGTTGATCAGATCCTGGATCAGTTCTTACCCTGTAATCTGGTCCCCTCAGCTCCTTGATCCGGACCTCCCAGTGACCCTTTTCTCTGAGTAGCTTGTTGATCTCATCGTTCAGATCCCGAATCTTGAACTCCCCGAGACCAGCTGCAAGACGGGTCCGAGAAATACAGACAGGTTAGTCAGAGAGAAAGACAGGTCAGAGAGTGAGACGGGCCAGAACTCACCGTTCTGGATCTGAGCCACTTTCTTTGAGATCTCACTGATGATCTGAAACAGAAACACCTGAAGTTTAAAACCTGCTGCAGGACCAGGACTCCTGGTACCAAGTCTTTAAGGTTCCACAGTGTCCTCCAGAACCACGGAGTCCTGCAGAACGAAACGGGTCAGAACTGTGTTGGTACCTGTCGTCTCCATTTTTCAGCTTTAGGAAGCTCGCTGCACTCTGAGGCCAGGAAAGGTCTTCTCTCCTGGGGACGGGCAGAGAGACAGACAGGTCAGAGAGACAGGTGTGACACAGACGGGTCAGAAAGATGGAGCAGAACCAGACCTTCACTTTTCCCTCCTCCAGCTGAGCTTGTCTGAAGCGGGCCAGAGCCGTCCTGAAAGACAAGGCAGAGGGAGACAATGACCCAGGAGCACAAAGAACCATTGAACCACATGGTTCTGCTGTGGTAATGACTGGAACTGAACCAGTGGTTCCAGATGGACTCGGTCCTGGATTGTGAGATCAGGACTCTGTTATCTGGTTCTGGTCCAGATTACAGCTCGGCCACCAAAGCCACCAACAGAACCCAGAACGGCCGGCTGAGTTCTGACAGAACTATGATGGGTCTCCACACTGGTTCTGATCCAGCCCATGATGCAGGTGTTCTGAGTGGACCAGGAAGTACTCACATGGCTTTCTCGGCGTTCCTCGCCTGAACGGATCAGAACATCAACAGTCAGACACACACCAACTTCACATCAAGAACACGTGAGCGGACTGAAGTTCGCTTCTGATGCACACCCCTGTAAAGTCTGGACCTAAACTAGAACTGGTTCAGACCCCCTGAACCTGGACCACATCAGTCCTTCATACACACCCAGGCTGAGGCTCCTTCAGAATCCAAACACCAACAAATGAAAATCTCATGAAGCAGATTTTATTCATAAAGGAACAACTTTTCAAATGTTGAAACTAAGAAACGACCATTTAAAACTAAGACATTTAAACATGAGGAGACCAGATGTTGGAGGGTCTGAAGGACCTAAGGAGACCAGATGTTGGAGGGTCTGAAGGACCTGAGACTAGATGTTGGGAGGATCTGAAGAAACTGAGAAGATCAGATGTGGGGTCTGAAGGACCTGAGGAGACCAGATGTTGGAGGGTCTGAAGGACCTGAGGAGACCAGATGTTGGAGGTTTAGGAGTGGTCTCATCTGATGGAGGATTCTAGCTGTTCTGCAGTCCTGGATCTTCTCTGCTGGATGAAGCAGATGTTCTAAAACCTGTACTAATTTTCTGCATGGATGGTCTCTCCAGATGTGTGAGCTGCTCATGTCAGAGGCACTAATGCACCCCTATACCATCAGAGAGGCAGGCTTTAGACCTGTGAGCAGAGAACAATCTGGATGGTTCCTCTCATCTTTAATACGGAGGATGTGGTTTCCAAAGAAAACTTCAGATTTGGACCCGTCTGATCTCAGAACAGTTCTGGACTTCACTTCAGTCCATCTGAAATTAGCTCTGGTCCAGAGAAGACAGCAGCTGTTCTGGATGTTGTCCACTCCACATCTGGCTTCTTCTTGCATGATAGAGCTTTAAGCAGCATCTAAAAGTCTCTGTCTCCGGTTCTGCTAACAGCCGAACTCATTTTTGTTTAGCGGATTAGCGTTTTTGCTAACTTTGGCTCACGCTAAATTAGGTTTCTTCAAATTCACGAGCTTGTTTCTGTTGTGGGCGTGTCTTGAAGAGTCCGTCTGGCACGCCATTGGCTGACTACGTGAAACACGTGACAGGACTGGTCACAACACGTGATGCAGCCGGACTAAAGGGTTAATTTCTTAGTTTCAACATTTGATGTGTTCATCATGTTTAATCATAAATAAAATATGGGTTAATTTAATGATTTACAAATCATTGTATTTTGTCTAAATTTGCATTTAAACATTGTGACAGTTTAGAGTTAGGATTAAGGCAAACTGTGTTTTAAACACAATTAATTTAGTCTGAGTCCAAGTTTCACATATTTTTAGAGCTAAAATGGTCCATACTCAGTTTAGTAAACTCCGCTGAGTCAGAATTAACTCTGAAAAACTGCGGTACACCAGACTCTGTTCAACTTTTAAATCATTTAAGTCAAACTGAGCGAATATTTTTAGTCAAATCCCCCGTAAAGCCACTTCAGTCGGCTCACACCAGACTCCGTTCAAAAATTATCAGATTTAAAACAAACTTAACGAAACAAAACCAGTTTTTATTTAAACAGTTAAGAGTTGTTGGCGTAAGAAATGTTAAAGGTCTCACCATGTCCGCAGCTTCTAGCCACAAATTATCCGCCTGAAACAAGAAAACGGATTTCTGTCACCAACAAAACACGATGTATCGACCGGAAGTGCGTCATCAGCCTCTGCTTCCGTCGAAAATGACTCCCTCTACTGCCCCCTACCGGAAGAACTGGTTCCTGTAGGTCCTCTGGGGGAAACAGATATTTACCGGTTAGTGCTCTAGTTTTGATAAACTTACTTAGTCAAGTTATTTACCACTTTATTACTCAAACCGTGCAGGACTCGATCCCCTTTTCTTGTGATTTATTTAAAAAAAAAATAAAGATAATAAAGGCAATGAAATACAATAAAAGTAAGGAAATAGAATAAAATAATTAAATTCAAATTGAATTTAAAATATAATAAAATAAACTAAGTCCATGAGCTTTAAACGGTTCTGGAGCTGATAGAGCTGTTTATTTTATTTTTTTAGATTAAGAGTTAATTAAGGTGTCCTGTTGGTTTGAAAGGTACACAACCTGTTTTTAAGGCCGTTATTTTAAACTTTAGGTTGGTGTGAACTTTATCCAACTTGTTCTTAGGATCATTTGTTTGGACTTTAGGTTAGTTTGAAAAGTACCGGAGTGGTTCCTGAGGTCACTGGGTTGGGATTGGTTTGGACTTGATTGGTTCAAAAGGTACAGAACCCCTGTAGGCTAAACAGAAACAAAGTTTTCTTCAGCTGTCCATGCATCCAGTGGTGTCCTACATGTTGCCAACCTGGGAGACAGTTGGGCGGTCCTGGGAGTCCAGGAACCAGATGACCATGGTCAGTCTCAAGTCTCACTAATAACCGTGCACAGAACCCGATGAGGTGCAAAGAATTCTGTCAAAGCACCGTCGTTTGGTTCGTCATGACCTTCTGCTGGGCCTCCTGCTGCTCTTCTGGGCATTTGGAGACGTACACTTTAAATGGAGGTCAGGGGTCAGCAGCAGGAACCTCCTGAATTAAAGAAGTGACACAGAACCCAAAACAAAGACCAGAACACACTCCAGCAGAGACTGAGCTGGACTGGTGCGTTTATGTTCCAGGGACACCGTCCGACGGCACGTTTGTGTTCAGTGGACCCAGAACGCCACAATAATCCACAGGTTCTGGTTCATGAGGTTTGGGATTATCCTAAGACACTTTTCTTCTCACTTTCAAAGCGATCCACAACCTTGCCCCTCCGTACCTATCTGACCTCCTACACATCTCCATCCCCTCTCGCTCTCTCAGATCCTCCTCTTCACTACACCTCCATGTACCCTCTGCCCGCCTCTCCACCATGCGGAGCAGGGCCTTCACCTGCTCTGCCCCTCATCTCTGGAACTCTCTACCCCCTGACTTAAGAAACACCACCTCTCTTTCTCTATTCAAGACTGCTCTGCAAACACATCTCTTTAGACTCTTATCCTCAACTCTGCTGTATGTATTTTATATTCTTTATGTATTTTATATTCTGTATGTATTTTATATTCTGTATGTATTTTATATTCTTTATGCATTTTATATTATTTATGTAATTTATTCCTGTTGATCTTTGTTCTTACTGTAAAGTGTCCTTGGGTGTCATGAAAGGTGCTTTTTAAATAAAACGATTATTATTATTATTACTACTTTAAAGGACCAGAAAGTTCAGTGCCAAGAAACCAGCGTTTAGATTTACAAACCTGGGTCCAGTGGAAAACACCTGCAGATCACTCGCTGCGGTGCACTAGTGGCTTGTTCTGGGAAATCCTGCAGGAAGACCCGTCTCTGAGGGAAGGAGGCTCTGGACCTGCCCCATGAATAGTCATGAACACTTAGCAGCACATCTCCATGATGGACCGTGTGGATGATCTCTTCTTGTCAAACTCAGCAGCTCGCGTTCAAACCAAAGAGCTGGACGTTACTGACCACAGACCTTTCTCCAATCATTTACATCTTCTCTGGAAACTCCAGACAGGTCTGGGCCTTCTCAGCAGGTGGACCTTTACTCCGTCACTGCTTAGTTTGCTTTGAATGCTGTTGTGAAAATGTGGTCAAGGTTTTAACTTTCTACTATTGCAGGTTTTAATCAGGACCCCATGTCTGGTCCAGATGGAAAAAAACCCTAAAACTTCTTGTGTTTTCACAAATTGACAAACATTTCAGACAAACTGTGTTTTTAAAAACATATTTTCAGAGCACAATAATCCAGACTAGGACTGAACTGTTTGTATTTTGTCAAGGTTAAATGACAATAAACCTACTTGAACTTGAATTTTGGGGAACTGAACCTTTCATAACGAGATCTAGATGGGAGACCCCCCAACCAGCGGGCTGAGGACCAGCACCAGTCAGTGGACTGATCGGTACTGGTCTGCACAGAAAAAAGAATCCAAACACAAATCTGATTAAATATTTCATCCACATCGTCTGTTTTTTCACTTAAACCTTCATCGTTTCACCAAAATGAGTGAAAAGAAAACTTGAGTGGGAGCGGTTCTCCTCCAGTCTGGTCCTTCAGCGTAGTCATGTAGACCAGGTTTTAGGTTTTGAACCAGAGCTGGTCTAACGGCCACAGGTTTGGTGAATGAGTTCTTTACTCATCGGGCCGTGACTCGTGGACATGGAACACGAGCCGGTCCCTGACCAGAACTCATCCTTCATTCCTCTGACTGAACGTTTGGAGCAGAATACTTTGTGGAAGAACAAAGTCCAAAGTTTTTACTTTTTTAAATGAATTAGTTGTACAGTAGCCCGTTTATCTTGAGGGATCCGTACCTTGAAGCCCTGCGATAAGTGAAAAAACGCAAAGTAGGAATAATAGTACAAGTAGTAGTTTATTTTAATGATCTATATCTGACATGTATAAATATATATATATTTAAACTAAACTCTAAATGCTCTAAAAGAACAGCACGTTATAAACTCAGCTCTCGGCCACGCCCACTTCTCTGCTGCAGAACGGAGATGGACGGAGAGGAGCAGTGTGGGCTGCACAGAGGAGGAGCAGGTGCTAAATAATTTAAAATAATTCATCTTAAATAAAAATTCCATGCTGCTCGTGCAGCTCATCCATCAATCAGCCAATTGTGTGTCATGTCCAATCTTATTTTGAAAAACCGCGATAGAGCGAGTTCGTGAAAAACGAACCGCGGAGCAGCGAGGGACTACTGTAAACCGAGGACCGTCTGACCGGGCTCGGTCCGGGTGTCGACCCGTTACTGAAGATCCAATAAACTTTGTCTTTCTTGAACCCAGAAACTTAAATGGTGGGTGTAGTGGTCAGACCGTTGCATGCTGGGTATTTTTTTACTGGCACTAAGGGAGTGTTGAGTATGTGTGTAAACATTTTATAAACAATTCTAACAAATCAACAGATGACAGAGGAAACATTTTTTTAATCATTTTACAAAATCAAATTAGAAAAACACTCAACAGGCTCAACCAATCAGACGAGACTCATAAGCTCCACCCCTCACAGCTCACAGAGCTAACTATTGGACAGTACACAGAGGGGCGGAGTTACATGAGAGCTCCCTCAGAAAAGCTAATGAGAAACAAAGAAACAGGAAATAAAGATATGTCACATCACCATGTGACCTGGATCGGGACGCAGCCAACAGGAAGAGGGCGGGGCATTTGTGTCCAACTGAAAACAAACACTCAGCAGTTCTGGATCATCCACCGATATCCAACTGGTCCAATAAGACATCAAGATTTTAAAAAGAGGCGGGTTCAACTTCAAACATCCAATCACAGAGCAGTATTTGTTGATCACCGCATGGGGGGCGGAGCCAGCTGCTGTGTGGCAGTGGCTGACTCTGGAAACAGGTTGTGGTAAGTAGGCAGGGGGACGTACGCTGCCGTGATCATCTTACCTGAAAACACAGGTGAGAGGAAGTCAAAGCTGCTCTCTGATTGGTCCTCAGGCAGCAGTCATGTGACAGCAGTTCTTACCTCTGAAGAATCTTCCGTGGAGAGCGCTCACAGAGGCCATGGCGGCAGGAATGGACAAACACTTGATGTAAACGTTCCCCTGAAAGACAGAAGACATCAAAGATCCTTGATGCTGATGGGATGACTCACTACGCTCTGCTCTGCCAGAAGACTGAGCAAGTCTAGGTCCATGTCATCAAAGATGTCATCATCATGTATGATGTCATCAAAGAACAGATGACATCAAACATGTATGATGTCATCTGTGGAACTGGAGCAGAGTTCTGGATCTGGAGGTTTATATAGAACTGGATCAGTTCTGGAGTGTTTGCAGTAACAGACTGCAGTCGTGCTGCTGAAAGGGGCGGAGTCAGAGCAACAAACCACGTGACACAGGAAATGATCCGTCTGTGGTTAGAGGCTGATCCACAGGTGAGAGGTCAGAGGTGAGGCTTACCTCAGGTGAGTTTTTGTCCACGTAGATGTGAACGACTCCTCCATGTTTGTTGCACTCCTCGATGACGTCACGCTGGATGTTGAGCTCCCACCCCGGAGTGTTCTCACTGAAAAACGACACACACACTCAGCTGGATCACAGACACACACACACACAGACACACAGACACACACACACCTGGTTTCACCTGAACTCATCGCATCTGCTGCTCTGACACACAGGACTACTTGCTGTTGTTAAGTGACGGGCCAGAACCGAGGATCAGAACAGAAACACCCACGGGATTCGTTTTGTCTGAACTAACGATCATTCTACACCTAACTCAGCTCCAGGAAGTATTCAGCCCCCTTCAGGAGGTACCACTCTTCATGCTCGACTCCACACTTCACCTGGTCAGAGTCAGACAGCTGACAGACACTCAGGTGTGCGCTCACCTGCTGGGGTGGAACATGTTGGACAGCTGGAAGCAGTGAGTGGCGAGAGGCTGGGATGGAAGATTCATAGCTGGAGGGTTCATGTTCATGTTCATGCTCAGAACTGGATTCATGGCAGCTGAAAGACAAGAGTCACCTGTCAGTACCTGGTAGCACCTGAAGGTTACCTGGTTCACCACGAGGTACCTGAAACAGCAGCCAGGGCTCCGATAGCGATCGCTCCACTCATCTGCAGAGCTTGCTGAGCAGCAGGAGGGATCAGACCAGGACCTGCAGAGGTAGACGGGAACATGTTGTGGGTGACTGTGATGTCATCAGGTGTGAGTGGAGGCGTGGCCTCACCTTCAGTCATTGGACCCAGCAGCTGCCTGCTGGTGGTTCCTTGGTCCATGCCCATCAGGTCCAGCTCGTCACATGGGAAGGTAGAAGCGGTGGAGGCTTCATTGCGCTCGGTCACATGACCCACCTTCATGGGCCGACCCGCCAGCTCAAACCCGTTCAGCTGCTCCAGAGCTTTCTTAGCTGACTCAGCGTCTGCAAACTGACATGACAACAGGTGCGACATACATCATGTGGTCTTAACGTGTCGCATGAAGCACGTGGTCCAGATGTTCAGACTGAGGAACTCACAGTGATAAAGCCGTAGCCTTTAGAGCAGCCGCTCTCGCTGTCCATCATCAGCTGGATGTTCTCCACCTGAGAACAGGAACTCAGCTGTCAGACGCCGTTCACACCTGGACGCACCTGTGCGCAGGTATGTGTGTGTGTGTTACCCGTCCAAACGGCTCAAAGATCCCTCTCAGCATCTCCTTAGTGATGTTGAAGTGCAGCGAGCCCACATACAGCCTCCTCGGTCCACTTGGTAACTTCTGCACAGTGTTGGCTGCAGCAGCTGCAGCAGCTGCAGCCGCAGCCGCAGCACGGTTCTTCTCTGCCTGCGCACGCACACGCGCACACACACAGATTCAATCATAACACTGCAAGAATTATGATGTAACGGAGACGTGTGCCTACCCGAGACATGTGCATACCTGGAACTAGTATGTACCTGAACGGTGTGCACGTGTGTGTACCTGGGACGCTTGCACAATGATGGGAACTCCCAGCAGCCTCTGGCCCGTCAGTCCGATGGCCAGTGGAACCGAACTGGCCTCTACAAACTCGATGTAGGCGATGCCCTTGGATCTGCGCGAGTTCCTGTCGGAGATCATCCTCACAAGTCGAACCTGTATGAGAGCAGATGTTACCATGGTAACCAAACACCTGAACCCACAGAAAGTTGAGCCCGATGGTTCACAGTGGATCCACGTGAACTCCAACATGAGCTGTTCGTCATTCCTCAGCTGAAAGAGTTCAGAACTGAGTTCATGTAAAAAACATCAAACACCCATCAGCCATGTTGGGCCATTTCTGTCCCCGTCTTATCCAGCCCCATCTTTAAAACCATCAAACCATTAAATACAGTAGTCCCTCGCTACTTCACGCTTCCTTTATCACGGTCTCGCTCTAGCACGGTTTTTCAAAATAAGATAGGACACGGCACAGTTGGTTGATTGATGGATGAGCCGCACGATCGGCATGAAATTTTTATTTAAAATAAAATATTTTATATTATTTAGCACCTGTGTGCAGCGGAGAGCTGAAATCATGACATGCTCTTTCAGTTTAGAAACATCGTTTAGAACATTGCAAGAGTGTGAGAAGAGTTTATAATGCCTTCATATATATTATACTAAAATAAACTACTACTTTGTACTGCTACTTGGACTACTGTGTCCCTACTTCATGATTTTTCATTTACCTGCTCATCTACAACTACTTCCTTTATTTCAAATGCTGACGTCAGTGGGAATAAAATCGTTTTTTGACGCGTTTTTTTATCCAGGTACTCTCAGTTACCTGAAAGTTGGAGGGGAGATGACTGATGAAGTTGGGGGTGGGGTGGGGGGGTGAAGGTTCTGGGAGATATATTTGAAGGTTCTGAGAAGTTTAGCTGACTGTCTGATGATCCTGGTGAGTTTGTTCTTGTTCTCTTCTGTAAGGAAGTTGTACCATGACGAGATGTTGAAGTTAAGGACTGGCTCGATGAGTGACCGGTCCTCTACAGTTAAAATGTCCTGTTTGACCATGAAACTTTCTCAGGAGAAACATTTTTTTTATAAAACCCCTCACTCAGCGTGTTGTGAGGACAGGTGGCGGTCGATCGAAATGCATCGAGCTGGTCCAGCACCAGGCATCAAGAGTAAGAAACCACCTTGAGGCAGGGAAGCCTGGGGGAGACCAGTCTCTGCCTCTGGTTTTCCACCAAATGGAAACCAGCCACAACTGATCATCAACCCACTGATTGAAAACACCTGATTCTAATTTTACCTTCAAATTAACTGCTAATCCTCGAGGTTCACATACTTTCACCTCTCACAAATATATAATATGTAACATGTTATATTTATGAAGAAATATAGAAAATTACAAAAGCTTCACAAACTTTTAACACCCCCCCCCCAACACAGACGTCCATGGTAAATTAAATATTTATTCACACCGAGTGCTGGTTCTGGTAAGTCCATTCAGTCATACCTCCCCCACAGCAGAGAAGAACTCCTGCAGGTCGCGTGGTCGGATCCGGGCTGCCAGCTGCATGCAGACGACCGTCCGAGCGTCTCGCTCCTCTGGAGACAGGCTGTCCAGGAGCATACTGAACAAGAAGAAGAACAGTTAGAGGCCCGGCAGCGAGGACAGGCCCGCACACGTTAATGATGCTCAACCACAGCACGCCGGTCCACAGTGGTGCCGTCAGTGAGACGCGCTCACGTCACAAAAACAAACTGAAGGTTGTTTCATGCTCCATCTGAAGCTGAGACATCGGCTCCCACGGACGTGGTTGAATGACTAAAATCATGTTATTTTGTTCCCACAGACCAAAAACATGCATGCTAGGCTATTTGGTAACTCTAAAATGTCCCTGTGATGGACTTGGACCTGTCCAGGTGTCCCCCACCTTTCGCAGTGACTGCTGGACATGGGCACCAGTGACCCTGTGACCTGGAAAGGAAGAGGCGGGTAAAAGAAGATGGATGGATGTTCTGGTAGTAGCTTCATCCGTCCCTTCACAACACAAAGCCTTTGTTGATAAGATAATAAGAATATGAACAAATATCCTGATGCAATATGAACAAAGTGACAGAACTTCATGGGTTTGTGTGCCAATGTGGAAAAACACTCAGTCATTTTGCTTCCAGCAGCCGGCTGTTGTGCAATGAAGCACCATGGACGGCTCTGAGAAGCCACTGGCTGAGGTCATGTGAAGTGAACTCCCTCACAGCCTGTAAACAGGAAGTGAACTCCCTCACAGCCTGTAAACAGGAAGTGAACTCCCTCACAGCCTGTAAACAGGAAGTGAACTCCCTCACAGCCTGTAAACAGGAAGTGAACTCCCTCACAGCCTGTAAACAGGAAGTGAACTCCCTCACAGCCTGTAAAC